GAATTTTATAAATAAATTATAAATAAAAATAGTTGCCAGGGGACTGACGTTTTGAAGTGGCCCAGACACATATTTCCAGCACAAACGGTGCTTTAACACTAAATAAAATGCCGATAAAACGCTAACAGCCCTATGATTATTAACTCAAGGCTAGTTAGGTCCTTATAAACCTTACAAAAGGTAAAATAACACGCTGGATTTTTTTTTTGGCTTTGAACTTCTGGCAGGGGACTGTTCTTAAAATGCCTGGGACAAACTTTGGTTTAATGAATTTAATGAAACAAATTAATTTTCGGTACTTTTTATTGAACAAGATTGTTAGTTAACTAATTAAGTTTATAAACATTATGGACCAAATTATATATTATGGACGAATAACTTGAAATTTAATCTTGAAGTTTTAATTTTGGGAATGGGACAGCCCAGGAGACTTATTGTCGGTGGTTTACCAATTTATATAAAAAAACCAAAATTTATTTCATTTTAGTTTTCAATGCTCCAAATAGAAATGTTTTTTTACTTTGGTAATAAATTTTTTTTTAGTAACAAAATAACAATTTTTCTAATAAAAAAATGAAAAAACATCCTTACAGAGAATCACCCATAAAAAAAAATAATCGGTTAAATTTTTCTTCTAAATAATTAAAAAAAAAAATTGAGTTTAATTACTTGTCATTATTATTTATAACAATATTTTTTGTCCAGGTCCGTTAATGGTAATAACTCAAAAAGTAATTGGGTTGGCTTACAATATCCACGATGGATTTTCAAGATTAGAAAAAGATTTAACGCCCCTACAACGGCACCAGGCAGTTAAAATAATGCCAACAACATTGGAATACTTTAGTTACATATTCCACTTTCAAGCATTGATGGCCGGCCCGGTAATATTTTACCGTGACTACATAGATTTTATCCAGGGAACGAAGTTGAAAGGAGCTAAATCATTTTCCGTAAGTTTATCATAATCGGTTGACTGACTTTATTTATTAAAGTAAAAAATTATTTCCCAACTTACTTGAATTTTTTTTTTTTTTCCTCAGGGATTTTATGATGATTCATCTAAAGAGCCAGAAGAAATCGTGCTAGAACCGTCGCCCACGAAAGCGGTGATAAAGAAAATAACGGCAAGTCTGACATTCGCTGTACTGTTCGTGTCATTCAGTTCACTGTACCCAATCCAGCGAGTGAAAGAGCAAGACTTCCTTGAAAACACAACTTGCGCTTACAAAATATGGTACCTGATGAATTCAATGATCTTCATACGTTGCAAGTATTACTACGCGTGGCTGTTTGCCGACGCGATATGCAACAACTCGGGAATGGGATACAATGGACGAGATGAAGACGGCAATGATCGCTGGGACTTGATCTCCAATGTAGATCCCATTAAATTCGAGCTTTCGTTAAGTTTGAAAGATGCGATCTCTGCCTGGAATATCGGGACCAATAGATGGTTAAGGATGATCGTTTATGATAGAAATGGACCATTTAAAGTATTTGCAACCAATGGTTTGTCTGCCCTCTGGCATGGATTTTACCCTGGTTACTACCTCACCTTTGCTACTGGAGCACTCTTTACATACGCCGCTCGTGCCGTAAGTTTGTAGATTCTTCTTAGAGTTATACGCATTTACAAGCCTGAAAAAAAATTTTTTTTTTTAGATTTTTAGTTGATTAATATACAAGGTAAAAAACCCAGTTATTGACACTGGCTTAGTTGTTTTGACATTTACAATTTTAGCCTAATTAAAAAAATAAAATGTTCCCAAAAAATCAATTTCAAAATATATTATTTAAAAATAATAATATTAAGAGAATAAGAAAAAATTTGTGACCAGTGTATTTATATGATAAAATGGGTTTTTAGGGTTGAATTTGGTATCATTAGAAAGGTCTTGACCTGAGTTGTGCCTTTTCAAGGTTTCATATCATTCTCACCAATAGTCAATTTATGATGATGTATTTAGGCTGCATTTGAAAATGCTATATTTCCAGATACATAATTAAGAAATGACCTTGTATCTTGTGAACTGTTGACATTTTTAAAGATATAAGCTCATCCCGATGTTATACTCATTGAGACCTTTCATTTGAGTACCCACATCAATTTTTCATATATTTATATATATTATATATATGTATATATGAAAAAATATATCAAAAATGTTTGTGGGTACTCAAATTAAAGCTCTTGACGAGTATAATATCGGGATGAGCTTATATCTTTAAAAATGTCAATAGTTAAGAAATGACATTGTATCGTGTCAACTAATGACATTTTTTAAGATATAAGCTCACTCCGACATAACACTCATCAAGACCTTTCATTTGAGTACCCACATCAATATTTAATAATACATATATATGTAT